AAGAAAAAGATTCAACATCTCCCTACAATCTATGAAATTTTCATGAATTCCATATCTTGTGGATACTTTTAGATCCTATGCAATGTACACACACATGGTATCCTTTAGAGCCAACGTTTTGGGTCACGTTCGAAGAGTCCTTTCCCATAAGTGAAAGAAATCATCTCCTTGAGAAGAGGATATTGCAACATCAAGAAGAGAACGGCAGGGAGATAAGCGAGTGGCACCACCGAAACTGAAAGAATTGGCTTTTGACGCATCGAAGTGAAAAGCGCAGTAGTGAATGACACAAGCATTGCCGCGATAGCGATGAATAAAATGGTTAAGCCCAATATCATCTTCCTTGGAAGTGACACAAAGAAGTCATCAAAAGAGTATCTTGCGGTGAGTATGCTAAGGAATATGAGCACGGAGGTGCAAGATGCAAAGAAAGAGAGAGCGTCTACGATGATGAACGCCATGAAATGTGCGTCTCTAAGAAGCAGAGGCACACCTAAATTTTCATCATTACCACCAGGAACAGTGAATATAGCTTGAAATGTGACCGTTGCAATGAGAGCGGCCACAAAGCTGCATGCAGTGGCAGTTGATTTCATCCATTCTTCTCCTTCTTTTCGAAGTAGTTCGTGAGAAACTTCGAATACTTGTCTTGGTGTCATGTTCTCATTGTTTTTCTGCAGCACTTCACGTTCTGATACCAAGCTCTTTACTTCCACAAACCATTGGGTCTCTCTTTGCATCTTGAGAGCAGCTCCGGCAACCTTAGAGAGCTGGTCAGGAGGAGAGAGATGAGCGGCGATATGAAGTATGTTGTTGTTTTCTTGGTCGTAACATCTAAGCAGCGTGATCTTTTTTTCATCTAAACCATAGATGAGGCTAAAGATCTTCTCTCTCCTGTATCCAACGGCCAGCTGAAAGAGGTTTCGACCAGAGGTAGCTTCAGAGATCCAAAGAAGTTGAGGGTTACGTTTGATTATCTCCATGAAGAATTCCTTGTTTCCGTACTCCACAGCTTCGAGTAGTGCTTCATAGACCGTCTCTTTCCAACTCTCGTCCTTGACCATGTTTGGTGTTGCTTTGCACATTTTTTGTAGCAAGCTATAAGCTCTAGAATGACTATATTTTAGCTCATATATTTGCTGGATTCCTATGTCAAAGAAACAAATATGAGATGTTGTTATAAGAGCTATATTATAAGTTATATCAAGGGCATGGTGAATAAATATATAGTTCACACCATATATCAATAGAGAAATTTATTTGTTTTCTTGATATTTGAGCATTTAGGTCCCAAGTCCATATATACTAATTAATAAATTGGAGTTTATATGATGTTATGAATTCCACAGAAAACATTGGTCAATATATTATTTTCTTGTTTACGAACATAGATCAATCTATCCATTGCTTGGTTTTGAATTGAAAGTATGTGAATGATCATATATAATTCCTCATATCCTATACTCATGTGAATACTAAGTGTAAGCTTTTAGAGCAATTAGTCTTGATCTCGACCAAATAGTTAAATCCACTAGACTACTAATTAACTACATGTTTAATTAAATCATGTCCGGTCTATATATTTGAACTCTATTTCATGAACTTTGGAAAAAAATAAAAATAAAACAATTTTCGACCTACATACCAAACGATTTGGGAAGAGCTTGCAGTGTCATCCAAAAAAGACCTGATGAAGGAAATATATAGTTACTTCAATGAGTGTGATTGAGTGTGTGTGTGTRTATATATCAAATTAACTTAATGTTTATGTTTCGGATAAGAGATTAAAGGGTGTATGTGCATTGCATACGTTGGTATCGGTTTGGTTTACAAGTCTCAGACTCAGTTGAAACATCCAAGTCTATACCTACAAATGGAAGAAATTTATGAACAATTAAGTTCAAGAAATATTTTTAATTATGAAGAAAAAAAACCGAAAAAGTCATGGATTATAAAGATGGATACATACAAGAGTAGATGAGGCGTCGCCAAAATCCAAGATCGCAGTGGCTATGAAACAAGTCAGGTTTCAACGCTAAGTACCTAATTGGAGATAATCTTTGAAGTGGGTGTTTAGTCACAGCCAGAGATGGGACTTGGTCTGATGAGACTCTGTTGAAGATGTGCAACGCAATGTCTAGCAGTCCATGAAACAAATTTAGTATGTCCACTTGTATATAACACTAGTCAACTGTATTTATTTAGAATAACGTTGTCCCGGAAAATTTCAACTTGTAAAGGTTGCATAACTCGAGTATATTATTAAAATCTACACATATAACCACAATTACCGTCAAGGTTCATTAGTTTCTACTCGAGAATCAATGGAAATGATATTGGAATAACTCATGTTTATTATAAACTACCTCTCAGAAGTTTATGGATATATATCTCATATCGAATTCCATGAATGGAGTTACTCATGTTAGCAAACACTAATGATGTGAGATATTTCCTAACATTTCGTGGTTCACATTTCAATTGTATTACTAGTTGTATAAAATAACGGCCTAACAGTTATATATCGAGCACTCAAAAGACTTACCGAGAAATCCGTTAAATACAGCATCAAGAAGAAGACATATAGCCCAATATCCTCCATCGTCCATCAAAACACGAAGAGGCGTTTTCTCATAAAGATAGTCAGTGGTTTCTCTATGCCCTACATTCGAAGCTCTCACAAGCGGTATAGCAAGTCCATAGCTACATGAATGCTCTTGATCAAGCAGATCGTGATTGTTTTCGTACAATTCCTTTACAGTCTCAAGATTGCCATTACCCGAAGCAACATCGAGCCGTAAAATCTGACAATAAGTACTATCTCGAACCGTTTGGTCAGGCCTCGTCGTCATTTCGTGCAATAGTAGCTCCTTGACGACTTCCAGTTGACCGCAAAGGCAAGCTTTTCGCAATGGTGTCTCGAATGCATCGGTCCACACACTAGCTGCGACTAGCCTCCGGTTGAAGAAGTCTTTTAGGACTTGCAAATCGTGGTTGCTTATTGCTTGTGATAGTGATAAACATTCACAGTTTTCACCTATAACTCCAACCACACATGATCAATAAGGAGAACACAACCCATTTAATCAGCTTGACGTTATTAATCATATAAAAACAAAACTTATAAACTAACAAACGAACAAAGTTACATCCAATTAGAATATTTAAATGCAAAAAATAGTTTTGAAACGAATAATACTTATTGATGAATGAACCAAACCGGACCGAACCTAACTTAGAAAACAAGTTATAAGAATTATGCATACCGTTGGTTGTCATCAAAATCTCAGAATTGCCACAAGTGATTAAGTGGGTAGTGAGATAATGAAAAGAAAACTACTTTTTACTAGAAACAAAAATAAGAAACTATTTACAAACCTGCCATTTCTTCTCAGTTGGAGTTGCACTGCACCGTCGATTTCTTCTCAGAAAGAACTCTCTTTTGAAATTGATGAATGTTGAAACAGTGAGATTATATATATAAAGAGTTTTTTCCGCAGCCGTAGATAAACTGTTTATTTATTCGGGTGTGATTTAAAAAAAATGTTAGCATGATGTAGGCAAAATCAGTTCGGGATTCTTTGGAAGGTTTTGATCGGGTCTTGAGCCTTTGTCTTACCCTCTTCACAGTTTGATTGGAGCACGAGCATTAGATTGGGACTAGATTCGCTTTCATTCTTTCAAGACGAATAAGGCTGTGAAGTTTTGCCTATCTATCATCTCTCCTTGTTGGCTTTCGGTCTTTGTTTTACTCTATTGGTTTTGTTAGCTGCTAACTTTAGCTAGTATCTCTTTTGGCTCCTCTTTGGTAGGATTGTGACGCTCCTATAGTGGGATTGTGGCTTTGTATAATTTAATTCACTCTCTAGTTTTTAATAATACAAACAGATGAAAAAAAAATGTATGTTATTAAATGTAATAATTGTTTGTAAGATCTATATAAAAAAAAGATGTATGTAAAAAAAAAGATAAATGAGATTTTTTCATCGTCATTTTCCCAAGATATTATTCTAAGTAGTTTGGTTTGGGGTCATTTCATAAAATTATGATCGTATCGTCATCAGTGACCATCAAAATAAGTAAATTAGTTATATTGCATAAAAAACAAAATCTAAGTCATAAGTAATTTTGATTGTGACGTAACTTTTTACGTATTTGATTGTGTGGTAATTGGGAAAAAACATACGTAATTACTTTCACGTCATCAAATTCTCTTTGTTCATACGCTTTTCGCATTGTTCCTTACGTAGTTACAGTTGAGTTTTCTTGTAGCCTTATTAATATGATTACA